TTTGTTGTGCAAATATGTGGAGGGCTCAAAAGTTATAATTACGACAAAAGAATTACAAATAATTTGTAGCTTAATAAAATTTCATTTGCTTTGGCCAAATAAACGTTAAATAAATTAGAGTTAATTACCTAAAAGTCCTATTTATAAATGTTATGGTAACTCAACTCATATTTAAGATTTTTCGAACCAATGAGTCATATTTAGTAAAATTGAGAATATTATCAGTTTTTGCTAATTTCTAAAACTAAGAATATTATCAATTTTACATAGTAATGTTTCAAATAATTATTTCATTAACTGATAAAAAAACAAAATATGAGATTAAATGTTTTGCCCTTCTACTTATTGGTTTGATTCAACTATCTAATAAAATCAATAATATTAACAATTTTTTCCAGTTTTAAAACTAAGAACATTATCAATTTTTTCATTTTTCATTTTTTTTTCAGTTTTGCACATCAATACTCCATCATCATGCTCACAAAAAAATTTCAATTTGCACAAAAAAAATTCAATTTTTTCAAAAAGTTTTTTTTTTTTTGTACGTAATTTTTTTTTAGTTTTTTTCAATTTGAAAGTTAATGTTTTAAAGTTTGGAAATTAAAATAAATGTCAAATCATCATGTTCTTTTATAGATAATCATAAATGATGAATAATCATTATTTGAAGGGTAATTCCAACTATTAAAATTTTAATAGGATTTGAAGGTCTAAAATTTTTTGATTAGGACTTAATAAAATATAAATTCATAAATTAAGATTTGTGTGTAAATGCCCCAATAAATTAGGATTCAAAATTGCAACCAAATTAGTTAATTTTTGTAAGTAAGCAAGTCAAATAACGTGATTTATAAGTGCTATCAAATGGGACTGCGTTTGCATTATGTACCAATAGGAATTATGTTATCGGCAACACGTGTGATTGCATATGGCTCTTTCTTTTGATTTATAAGTGCTTTCACAAAAATATATAAATTGAATATAAGTTCGTGAAAGTTTACTTGTATGAATAGATTTATGTGAATTTATATCAATTTATGCATTTTTATGAGATCACCTATATAAATTTATAAAAACTTACATAATTTTATGTTAAAATCCCATATGATGTGCATTGCACCCAGATTAATACCCTATTTTATTTTCTTTTCTTTACGTTGTTCTTTCATTACTTTTCTTCGTTCAAGTCCCCAACTATCTCCATTTTTAAATGATTGCTATGCATTTTGGGAACAAGTTCAACTATTCAAAGTAGGGCTGTCAATGGATCGGATTTAATCCGAATCCGACCCAAATCCGATCTGATAATCCGAACCCATTTATAAAAAAATCCAATCAAATAATCCGAATCCGTTTAATCCGTTTATTAAACGGATTGAATGTGCAAAAATCCGATCCGATCCGATAATCCGATAATCCGATCCAATTATTCTCAATTTAAATGAAAAAAAACACAAAATGAAAAAAATAAATAAATAAATCAAATTATGTAAAATTATAACTCAATAAATAAATAAATAAATGGATCGGATCGGATATCCGAAATCATCGGATTCGGATTCGGGTATCTATAATCGGATGTGGACTAAACGGAATCGGATCGGATTCAGGTTTGTCTTAATCGGATCGGATTTGGATTTTGACAAATCCAATCCAAATCCGATCCACTTACAGGCGTAATTCAAAGTATATTATGCACTACTTCTTTATCAAAAGAGAAAAAACATAATAAAGAAAACAGTTTGCTTTTGTTAAATTGTCGGTGAAACAAAAGATACTAGAAATTTAATAATAAAAAAAAAGATGGATTCAATGTAGCTGTACATAAGCAGTGGAACGTGAAGACAATATGACATTTAAGCATGACCTAACAAAAAACTATTGAGTATTTTCAGAATCTCACGTATTCATATTTTTTCAAGAGTGTAAATAAGCCCGCGGTCGACTCAAAACCCGCCTATAGCCAGCCCCTATTAGTCCGAGACCGAACCCAACCCGAGACCCTGGGCCTAGGCCTAGGCCATCTGTTTTGAGGTCCAGCCCATTGGGCAGTTCAAGGCCCACTCCAGGGCCCGACCTACCCTGCCCACCTGAAACGCACTCTCATTTCCAAGCTATTTTGGCTGGAAAAAAAATAAAATTTTGGTGAAAAAAAATAAAAAATGGTCAAGCCTGGCCTGCCAGCCTGTCCCAAATTCCAAGTACTCTTGGGTCTAGGCTTGGGCCTGGGCCGCGATTTTACGCCAGTGAGATGGCCTGGCCCGATTTTTAATGAAAGCTCGCTAGGCCTGAGAACAGGCCGGGCTATTTTTACACCCCTTCACTAATAATCATTCACTATGCCTCTTTATATTCTTCAATCACTCAATATAAAATCATAAACCTTACCTTCTCCACCAATCATAATATCCTGAACCACCACGTGACTGTACTTCAGGAGTACCCAATAACTTTTCTGAAGGAACTGATTAATGAAATTTTTTCCCTCTTTTTTCTCGTTTTCTTTTTCCAACTATGTAGTTTGAAAGTAGGACCTTGAAATTTAATTGGTTGGTGAGATTTTTGCTTGTGTGTTGAACTATTGATTATATTGCAATTAAGAGATGAAGTTTGTAGTTTAGCAATATATTTATCCTGGGACAGCATCCATAATGGAAGTTGAATAGAATTCCAGTCAGATTATGATATTTAAACGTGAAATTGTTGCTCAAAGGAACTGAAAAATCAATATATTTTTTGTCCAAAAAAAAAAAGAAAAGAAAAACCAACATACTTTATGTGTGACCATGATCTTTGCTATGTGCGGACAGCCTAGCAAATTTGGGTGTAAACAATCAAGGCCATTTGGTAGTGCTTGAAGACCCTCCAAATCAGATTGTAAGTCTGCTTGTTGCAGACATGGTTGGTTTTTCTTGTGTAAGGGTTTGAATTGGCCTTGAACTCTGTTTGTTTGTTTCTATTTCAGTTAAATCAAAGATAAATAAATAAAAAGACTGTGATCTTTGGTGGAAAAAAAACTTAAAATATAAAGGGCCAAAGTGGAAAAACAAAATACTAATGCTGTGTTTGGTTGGAGGATTTGGGGAGGGATTTGGAAAGGGAAAGGGAAAATGTGTGTGAAACTATGTGAAATTTAGGCATATTTTAGTTTTATTTCACCTACCTTTTCCATTTCCCCTTCCAAATCCCCCCTCAAATCCCCCAACCAAACACAACATTAGGAGACAAAGTGAGAAAGTGACCAAATATAAAGGGGGCAAAGTGTAATTTAACCATTTTGAATAATTTAAAATCAATGTAAAAGTAAAAAGACTGAAGTAGAATGTAAATAAATAAATAAATAATCACCAATCTAATAAGTAAATTATATTAATAGTCCCTATAATTTTTAAAAAAAATTTTTTACTTTAATCCCTTTAATTTTACACGTGGTCTTTTTCTTTTTAAAATGTTAACGAAACATGACAAAAAGATAACATTGTAACAAAATTGAAAATATACGATTTAAATTGAAACTATGGACTTAAATTACGGAAACTAATGGTATAATTTATCTTACCTTTTTTGCAATTGCAACTCATGAGATTGACACCTTTAACAAAATCGTTCATTTTAACCTTCAATTTGAATAGAACAACTAAATTAAAATGATATTGATTTTGAATGTGAAAAAGAGATCTAAATTATGGTTATTGGAAAACTACACACCGAAAGTTTGGATTGGGGGACGCAATCCATAGCTTTTGGGGAGTAAATTATTGAGGTAGCTCTAATCAAATTAGATCATCATCATCATTAGAGTGTTTGCGTATTTATTTATTTTTTTTTTAACACATGTTCTTGATAACTAATTTGTTGCATTCATGATGTAGACAATTTTTTTTTTTTTTAATTTCTTTCATATCTCATTTTGAGCTTTTAATTTTGATTCTATAGAGAATTGAGTAGAGAAAAATAATTCATATAATCGACCCTATTTAATGAGACTTAAAACTTAATTTGATTTAGTTTGGTTTGGTGTAGAAAGTTGTACTAACTTGACCAAATTTAGAATTGGAAATGCAAATATGAAAGATTGGGATTCTACTGATCATGATTTAGATTGGCATAAGTTTTTCAAATTTCGAGATGAATCTATAAGTTCCGTAGGTTTTGCTAAGATTTCTAAGAATTACCATCTTTTGATTTTTCCAAGGCTGCAAAAAGGCATTTTGAAGCTTAGATTCTAACTTTGAAAAGAACAAATGACCCGAGTCAAAAAATTTGATTCCCAACCATATCATTCCAACTCAATAGGGCACTTTCAACTTATTGTAAGCTAAAGTAGAAGTCAGAAAAGCTCGTCACTTCCACTTTCAAGATAATTAACTTTTTTCAATAAACAAAAATTGCACTAAACAGACTTAAAAAAAAAACTGATGAGTTATCCATATATGGGTTGCTACGTGATGATCGTCCCATCCTATCCTTTTTTATCCAACAGAAAAACTAATAAACCAAGAGATATTTTAACTTAGATGCCACATCCAACATAAAAGATTAATGTGTATATATATTGCATTAAATCATCTGTTGAAATACTCAAGTACACAAACAAATCATAAAAAAACACTAGAAAAGTATAAAGTTTTAACTAGCCCAGACTACTAATTCAGCTATAAAAACACTAGAAAAGTATAAAGTTTTAACTAGCCCAGACTACTAATTCAGCTATTTTTGTCTTTCTTCCTCACTAGTAGTACTACAGTGGTTCTTCATCACATTTGACGTATCCAATATTAGAAAATTATTCCTTTCATCAATAGTAGACAGAAAATTAAAGGGTATAGAGAGGCAAAGATGATTACTTTCACTTTTCCTTTCATTTCCTTCTCAGCTTTTCCTTTTTGTCTTTTTCTTTTGACCTAGGAAAACTAGTTCAACGAACGCAACAGCTGATTGAGCACCTTTTGGAGAATGAGCCTGAACTCAAAGTCATCTCGGTGGTTGGAATGGGAGGGATGGGCAAAACTACCCTGGTAAGGAAGATTTATGAAGACTCAAAAGTTAAAAGGCATTTCCAAACCCATGTTTGGATCACAGTTTCTCAGACATTTGTGGTTGAGGAGTTCCTAAAGGACATAATTGTGCAACTCTTCGCTGAGATCGAGCGACCAGTCCCTCGAGGAATTAATAACATGGGCAGCCATGATCTGAAAATGCAAATAAACGAATTTTTGAGTCAAAAGAGGTATGTAATTGTTTTGGATGATATCTGGAGGATAGATGCATGTAAAGCTCTAAAATATGCATTACCTAACTGTCATTTTGGGAGTCGGGTTATGCTCACAACACGAATTGCTGATATAGCTTCCACCACCAGCACCATATTCGATGGTAGTGTCATATATCCTTTAGAACCCTTGTCACAGGAAGAGTCTTGGAACCTATTTTGCAGAAAGACATTCAAAGCAGACACTTGTCCTCCACATTTGAAGGAAATTGCTGTATGTATCTTAAGAAGATGCGAAGGATTGCCACTTGCAATTGCGGCAATCAGTGGTCTTCTGGCTACAAAAGACAAAGGTAAGATTGATCAATGGGAGATAGTTCAGCGCAGCCTTGGTGATCATATAGAAGGTGATGACAAACTTGATAGTATGAAGCGAATACTGTCACTCAGTTATGATGAATTGCCGGGCTATTTGAAAGCTTGTTTCCTGTACTTCAGCATTTTCCCCAACAATTATTTTATTAAGCGTATGAGACTGATTAGATTGTGGGTGGCAGAAGGATTTGTACAAGTAAGAGAAGGGCAGATGCCAGAAGAAATTGCTGAGAGCTACCTCAATGAGCTTGTCAATAGAAGCTTAGTCCAAATAGCAACAACAACTAGAAATGGAAGGGTTAGCACATGCCGCATCCACGACCTTTTGCGTGAAATTTCTCTTTCCAAGTCAAGAAAACTAAACTTTGTAGCAATTGCCAACATAAACAACACGCAGTCGCTTGAAAGAATAAGGCGCTTGTCAATTCATAAAACATGTAGAAATGTGGAAAAGAGCAAGAGGTTCACCCATCTTCGTTCTCTGTTCACGTTTGGGGTAGCAGACATGCCATCTAAATTACCCATCTCTACATTGCTTACTGGTGTCCCCAGGCTGCTCAAGGTATTAGATTTGCAAGGTGCACCTCTGGAGTCTCTTCCAAATGAAATCTTTGAATTGTACCTTTTAAGGTATTTAAGCTTGAGAGGAACAACGGTGAAAAAGATTCCAAGCTCTATTGGGAGGCTTGTAAACCTAGAGACACTGGATCTCAAACATGCCAATGTAACTGAATTGCCTGTTGAAATACTAAAGCTCCAAAAACTATGCCATCTTTTGGTGTATCGTTACGTGAAAAGATCTTCACCCTTTCACTCCACCTACGGTTTCAAGCCACCATTGGGGATGGGCGATTTGCAATCCCTGCAAAAGCTCTGTTTTGTTGAAGCAAATCAAAGTAGTGACTTATTACGTGAGGTAGGAAAGCTAACCCAACTGAGGAAGTTAGGCATTACCAAGTTGAGGAGAGAAGATGGGGTGGCATTGTGCTCCTCCAATGAAAACCTTCGCAACCTTCGCTCATTAGATGTAAATTCAGTAGAGGAGGATGAGGTCATTGATGTCCAACACATGTCTTCTCCTCCTCCCTATCTACAACGGCTATGGTTGCAAGGACGTTTGGAGACTCTACCACCTTGGATAACTTCAATGCATAGCCTAGTCAAACTACGCTTAAGGTGGAGTCGGCTAAGGGTTGATCCACTGGAGTCTCTTCAGGCTTTGCCAAATCTAGTGGAACTTCAACTTCGCCAGGCGTATGATGGTGATGTATTACAATTTAAGGCTGGAGGGTTCCAAGGCCTAAAGATATTGCATCTTCATGACTTGAAAGCGCTGAGAAGGGTCTCGGTGGAAGATGGGGCAATGCCTCATCTGGAAGATCTCAAGATTATCTGCTGCGAATCACTAGAAAACGTTCCGGCAGGTATTGAATTCCTCACCAATCTGAAGTCACTTGCTTTTTCTGACATGAAAAATGAATTGATTATGAGACTTGAGGGCAAACAAGGTAATGACTATTTGAAAATCATGAACATCCCAGAAGCTTATTATTATGCCTTCCGGGATTGCAATCGGTGGAATAAAACTTCTCTGTTAAAATAGAGTTCAAGACATGGTGTCACCACTACCACAATTGTTTGGTGAAATATCAATGATTTCGTCTCCTATAATTTGCTCTAATGAAGAATGGAAGTTCTATTACGTTGTGTTTGGATTTGTAGATTTTGGATGAAAGGATTTGAGGATTAATTATTCAAGGAGAATAGCTCAAGTTTAGATATAATAGTTGATATATGGATTTCAAGATTAAATTTAAGAGCTTTACATCATGATAGATTATGATGAATGACAGCCTTTACACTATGGTTTAGAATTATACAAAGATCATAGCAAATTACTCATCTTCTTACTATACAATATCTTCTCCTAATCTATTTATTACAATCATCTCTCCTATATTTTAATCTCAAATCCCTTCATTTGAAATCCATCTATGCATAAAGATTCTAACTGATTATAACAAATAATTAATTTATCTTTCCTGCCAAACAATTGATTTCAAGTAAAACACTCAACTTCTTCAACTTTCAGTTTTCTTTAATTATTTCTCTTTTGTTAACCTTTTTATTGATTATCTGCTCATTGTTAGCTTTTCAATAACTCTTTTTAAATTCTTGAATTTAAAAGATGACTACACAAACAAACACTACAAAAGCAGCAATTTAACCTATGATGACCAAGTTGGTGTTTGCAAGCCATTTACAAGGGCAATGATTTGCTGGAGCTCCAAACAGGCTGAAACAGCACCCTTCAGTCTAAAATTTAGATTAAAGGGGTCTGCCTCCATATAGTACTAGTACAAAATAATTCAAACTATTCAAATTACACAACAATACTTGGGTACAGTAATATACTATTTCTTCAATAAAGATAAAGATAAAGATAACGAGATTGCGATTTTCAATCAATCAAATAGAGAGAAGCGACAAATGATTCTTCTTAAGAAACAAATAAAAATGTCTTTGTAAAGAATTAAGAATTCAGTGCTTTAAAAGATATTTGTATTTCTTTTCTTTTCTCTTTCTGTCTTTTTTTATATAAACGCTATTTATATATACCCTTCATTACCCACAAACGCTAATGATCAAGCTGTGCCATTCATTTTGAGTGTTCCAACAAGTTCCTTTGTTTTGGATGAAACTAACAAAATATACCCTTCATTACCGACAAACACAATTGTATTAGAATCGGGCAAAACCTCAAAAACTTCCAAGCTCTTCTCTTCCCGGCCAGTCAGTGGACCTATTTTACCGTAGCTTTCACTAGATCGAAACTATAGAAAAACTTTCTTCTTCCTGATGCTATTACTTGAGATCCATCAGGTAAGAAACATGCCTTTCAAATGGGACAATCATCTAGGAAAATGCTTCGTATTTTGGTGTTCCTTATGCCATCTATCAGAAAAAATCTGAGTTTTTTTATCTAATCCAGCAGTAAGGAGCAATTGGGCATTTGTGTGGAACTGAACTGAATTTATTGGACCATTGGAAAGATCATCTGCATTTGCATATACTAATCTCAAGTACTCAAGGAGTCCAGGCAATAGCTTCACCCTGCTCTTCACAACGAGGTCCTCATTTGTTCAAAGAATGTCATCTACACCTTCAACATCTTTACAACCACGCGCAAGAACTACCCCATTTTCTATATCAGAATCTTCATCATCAGAGCTGCAATTCCTTGGCTGTGAATCACGTTGGGCCCACTCTGTTCCCGGGTTCAATTTTACATGATGAGCCCTTAATCTGGACACATGCGCAGAACCAGAGATCACACTCTCGTCCTCTTCCTTCCTCAGCTTCCTCAATCTGTTGACTTTAGCTATATTTATACTGGCCTTTTCTTCTTCATCATCCACCCATACGGGTTTCCTTTGCCCAGCTTCGTCTTCATCATCACTTTCACTACTCTCCCGGAATTCTGCATCATCTTCATAAACAGAAAGTACGCTATTCACAGACTTATCTGTAAAGAACAAAGCAGAACTTTTGTCAGCCCCACCTCTCAGTTCCTCATCATCTTCCTTTCCAAACTCAACTGGGGAGTACAAGGAACCAAACAAAAAGTTCTCTAACTTCTTCATTTTTTTCGCCTCTTCAATTTCCAATTGTTTGTCCTCTTGCTTGCGCTCTTCCTTTTTCTTATTTATTTTGTATGTAATTGACTTGTCCTCTTTTCTATCTACAATCTCTTGGTCAGCTTCCAAGAGTGAACTCACTAGTAGTACTACAGTGGTTCTTCATCACATTTGACGTATCCAATATTAGAAAATTATTCCTTTCATCAATAGTAGACAGAAAATTAAAGGGTATAGAGAGGCAAAGATGATTACTTTCACTTTTCCTTTCATTTCCTTCTCAGCTTTTCCTTTTTGTCTTTTTCTTTTGACCTAGGAAAACTAGTTCAACGAACGCAACAGCTGATTGAGCACCTTTTGGAGAATGAGCCTGAACTCAAAGTCATCTCGGTGGTTGGAATGGGAGGGATGGGCAAAACTACCCTGGTAAGGAAGATTTATGAAGACTCAAAAGTTAAAAGGCATTTCCAAACCCATGTTTGGATCACAGTTTCTCAGACATTTGTGGTTGAGGAGTTCCTAAAGGACATAATTGTGCAACTCAAGTTGTTGAGAACTCCATCATGCTATTTTTAACAGATTCGGTTTCACAAATTTTGGTCGCAAACATGAAAATTAAAATTTTGAATTAACCACACACTTTACATAGCTCAAAAAACTGTTTCAGTTTTCGTATTTTGAATTGAATTGGACTCTTCACAACATTTTTCACCAATCCTATGCACACACATCGCATCTGCCACCACTTCTAGTTTTGTTTGTTAACGTGCTTAAAATAATTGTGTACTGATGCACAACTTTGTTACATACAAAACCTTGAAAACAATTGAGAATAACAGAATCAAAACAACACAAGGTAAAGATAAAAAGCTTAGAGCATCCACAGTGGGCTACCAAAGGAGCTGCCATTGCCAAAAACTCCCCCAAACAGAAAATAATATTTTTTAACAATTCACCAAAAAAACAAAGAGACTAAAAACAACAACAATAATCACAAACAATAATCAAGCAATATCAAACAAATTTCAAGCAATCTCAACAAATTTAAGCAATTCTCCATCATCAAAAAGACGATTTCAGAAAAATAAATACATGGACTTCAAGATGCATGAGGGGTTTCAAACGATTTCAGGAATCTCAAGCTTTGTCTTTTTCATCTGCTTCATCTGCTTGCTTGGTCTTAGGGTTTGTTTGTGTGGTTTGGGGGGTTTAGGCTCCAAAGGGTTTAGGGTTTAGAGAGAGATAAAACATCCATGGCCTTTGATTATAGTTTGACCCCAATATTTCTTACTATATCTTCACAAAGTTCTAAATTCTTTTATATTTTTTTTGAAAACAATTATTTGTATGTACTTTTTATATTTTTTTTAGTTTTTTTAACTTTATTATTATTATTAAATTTATTTATTTTTTTATTTTTTATACTCAATATTTGTATTAAATGTCTAATTTTGTTTATAATTTATAATTTGTTATTTTAAAGTTTTCATTAATTTTTTTAATAATCTAATTAAAGTATTATCTTATTTTAATATTATTTATAAAGATGTACTATTATTTAATTTATTTGGTTTTACATGTACTATCTAACCTATAAGGGATTTTAGTAGAATAAATGACTAATTTTTGAGAGAGTAGGTGTTGCAATTTTATAACTTCTGATGTTGACTAGCTGATAGATTTTGGCCTTGTATTGTACTTAGGGGGAATTACACTAACATAAATAAATAAATAAATATTCTAAACAATATTAATAATTAAAATTATAAATTTTTTCATTAATATATAATTAAATTACACTAACATTACTGCAATGTTATTCTCCCTTGTATTTATGATATTGTGGTTGTGGATGAGTGTGGTATAGGTAGATGGCCGGAGGAACGAATTGTAAGAGAGGATCCGGAGGGTTCTGGCTTTTTTCAATTGATAATTAAATTACACTAACATTACTGCAATGTTATTCTCCCTTGTATTTATGATATTGTGGTTGTGGATTAGTGTGGTATAGGTAGATGGCTGGAGGAACGAATTGCAGGAGAGGATCCGGAGGGTTCTGGCTTTTTTCAATTGAGACAAAGTTGTAAATTCATAATCAAAATCAAATCAATTGAAATTACAATGACTAAAATATAAAAGGTTACAATATAAGGTCTAGGTGTAATTTGTCCTTTTATTTTTTCCTGGTTTGTTTGTTTTCTAAGCCACCTTTTGCAAAAAAATAAAAATAAAAAATTACATATTTCTTTGGCCATTTTGTGTTAGCAAAGCCAATTTATTATTTTTAAATAAGCGACTACTATAATCTTTTCTATAGCCATTATATGTTGTTGTTTGATATCACTTATAAGTTAGTTTTATAGGTTTTTAGATTATTAACCTAAAAAAATTAAAATAAGTTGTAAATTTGTTTGGTACATTTTTTGATAATTTATGAAAGAATTGAATATGGTTGATTAAATAAGCTGTCACATAACATTTTTGTTGTGCAAATATGCAGAGGGCTCAAAAGTTATAATTGAGACAAAAGAACTACAAATAATTTGTAGCTTAATAAAATTTCTTTTGTTTTGGCCTAGTAAGCGTCAAATAAATTATAATTCAACATTGCAACCAAATTACTTAATTTTTGTAAGCAAGCTAGTCAAATAACTTGATTTATAAGTGCTATCAATTGGGACTGTGTTTGCATATACCATTAGGAATTATGTGATTAGCAACTCAAGTGATTGCATATGGCTCTTTCTTTTGATTTATAAGTGCTATCACAAAAATATATAAATTGAACATAAATTTATGTAAGTTCACTTGTATAAATAGATTTACGTGAATTTATATTTAATTTAAGTATTTTTATGAGATCACTTATATAAATTTGTGAAAAGTTACATAATTTTATGTTAAAATTGCATACAATATGCATTGCACCCCAGAATATTACCCTATTTTATTTTATTTATTTTCTTTACTTCGTTCTTTCTTTATTTTTCTTTTGTTCAAGTCCCCAACTATCTTCATTTTTAAATGATTGCTATGCATTTTGGGAACAAGTTTAGCTCTTCAAAGTATATTAGGCCTAAACCTGGGCAGTCTGTTTTGATGCCCAACCCACTAGCCAGCTCAAGGCCCATTCCAAGCCCGGCCTACCTGAGACGCACTCTCATTTCCAACCTATTTTGGCGAGAAAAAAATAAAATTTTGATGGAAAAACATAAAAAATGGTCAGGCTTGGCTTGCTAGTTTGCCCCAAGGCTCGAGTACTCCTGGGTCTGGGCCTGGGCCGTGATTTTGCACAAGTGGGACGGCCCGACCCGATTTTGGCGAGGATTCACTAGGCCCGACGACAGGCGGGGCCATTTTTATTCCCCTTCACTAATCATCATTCACCATGCTTCTTCACATTCTTCAATCACCCAATACAAAATCATGAACGTCACTTTCTCCACCAATCATAATACCCTGGATTACCACGTGACCGTATCCCAAAAGTCCCCCATAACTTTCCTAAAGCAACTGATTAATGAAAATTTTTCCCTCTTTTTTCTCATTTTCTTTTTCCAACTATGTAGTTGAAAGTAGGACCTTGAAATTTAATTGGTTGGTGAGATTTCTGCTTGTGTGTTGAACTAAAGCCGATGAAATTGATTATATTACAATAAACAGATGAAGTTTGTAGTTTGTACCAACATTTTAGCAACATGTTCATCCTGGGGCAGCATCATAATGGAAGTTGAATAGATTCCAATCAGATTATGATATTTAAAGGTTAAATTGTTGCTCAAAGGAACTGAAATATTTTTTGTCCAAAAAAAAAAGAAAGGAAAAGAAAAACCAACATGCTATATGTGTAAGGTTCTGAAAAGCGGTTGCGGTCACTGTAACGGTGGCGGTGGTACGGTTGCGGTTGCGGGGTGTAAAGGCCGTAACGTAACGGTTACAGTAATCAGAACCGTGAATTTTTTTATTTTTCGCACGATTTAAAAAAAACTTACCGATACGTATATTTTTTTTCCATAATCATATTTATTGGGTTTTAAAATAAATATTGATAATTTTTGTAAATTTTTAACTATGATCCAATATATTTCATATTTTTAAATCACTAAAAGCTGAGTTTTTTACATTTTATTTTAATAATTAATGACTTTATATGTCATAAATTCATATTACACTTGTGGCCAAAAAAAAAAATTTATTGGACTTAGATGTATAAAATTATTTTTTTGATCATTATACTTGTAGAAACATATGCAAATTTTAACTTGAATAATTTTAAAAAAATAAATTATACATGCTAATGTAATCATATAAAAATTAAAAAAATAAATTATAAAGAATTTTTTTCTTTTGGGATTTGGATCACTTGAATATTCATTCTTTCTTTGGATAACCTATAAATAAAAATAAAATAAACTAATCAAAAAAAATTGACATGTATAAAATATGTATTAATATATAATTATATGTGCTATGTTTTCTAGATATTTTACGAAAAAATCAATCACTAACCATTATAAGATAAACAATGACAAACGTAAGAAAATAAATAAGAGTCTAAATATATATATTTTAATCTATATATATATATATATATTTTAATCAAGCCAAATAGATAATGACCACACTTATTATTATTATTATTATTATTATTATTATTATTATTATTATTATTATCATCAAACAATATATAGATAGATAGACACACACAAATAAAATAATTGAGTGAGAGCAGTTGACTAGAATAGCATAAGTCTTATAGTTTCAACAAATCAATAACATATTCTTCATCTTCCCTCTTATCTTTCTCTATTTCTTGCCCCTCCATCTTCCTTCTTCTCTCTCTATCCCTCTTCTCTCATTTTCAATTTTTTTTTGTGATTTTTTCGAAAGAAGCAGTTTAGAACCGTTACGTAACGATGCGTAACAGGCCGTTACGACCGCTACGGCAGCCGCTACAACCAACACACCTGTGAATCTCAATCACACTACAAAAGCGACCGTAACGG